ATTAGCATCATCATTTTCCGCATCTTTTCCGTTGTTAGACCCATTCTGCGCTTGCTCCTCCCCTTTATTCTCATTCTATTCATGGTGCTGCATCTCCTGTTCAGTCTCTATGCGGTCCGTCTTCTCCTGCCCCCGTGCCTCGTTCCTATTCTCATCACCATCGTCCTCCTCCTTCTCATCCTCATCATCTCTCCATTCCTCGGCTTTTTCTAGCTCCTCGGATACCGCGTCGACGTTCGTTAGGATTGGAATGAAATTCGACCTTCTGCGTAAGGCATTTGCCACAGCCCCACCTATTTTGCAAACCAAAAGAAGAACATGTTAACCAGAAACTTTGGAAACTGTCACTGTAGAGCAATTCGTCAGCTGAATATCTAATCAAAGCCATGTTTAAAGAGGCAATCTTTTATGGAACGTTTCCTTATCAGAATTCCGTTGCGAACATGATTTATTCTCGACAATGTGGTTTGCTCTTTTGAGGCATTTCTAAATACAAGCAAAATGGTGATCGTTATAAGAAATACTATTCAAAATATCATTCTTTCAGTAAATATCCTTCATATCTATCTTATTCTAAAGGGTTTACTCTAAAAATCGAATAAAAGCGCAACCTATCAATTTATCCATGAAGACACTCAAGGCAGAGAAACTAATGACACGCTTTATTCGAAGATATTCAATAAATAATCATCCCCTGATAGTAATATGTACAGAATATTTTGACTAAAGAAAAGTCCTTTCCATACAAAACTTTTGGTTCCATTCCGTTTTTAACTTAATAAAATATTTAAATTTGTTGTTCTAATTTACAGCGACTTTTTACATCTCCGGAAGTTTGGGTTTATCGGAAAAAAATTATTTTTCTTAAGAATCACTTGGTAATTTTTATAGTTCTTTTAAATATTTATTATGCCTAATATTGCGCATTATTATTTATAAGTTTTCGTAAATTCGTTCTCGTTGGTATACCAGAAATAATCAAGCATTCATAAACCTTCGCAAGTTCCTTGCAGCACTCGCCATACTTTATTTTATTTATGTTCAGCTAAACTTTAGAAAAATGGCAAGTTTCTCCATTTTCATTTTGATATTATTTTGGAGAAAGCTAATTTGTACAAATATTCGTCAACTACACATCTAAGTCATGTGGTTTCTGAAAAGGTAAGCTATAATAGAAAGTATTTTTATAATTCTTAGGAGTAACGATATCAGATTTCTGTTACGGATGTTCTCCATGCTGAAAAATGTGTTTTTGTGTTTGGAGGAATTCATAAATATGGCCCATATGACTATCTTCATAGGAACTTATATCCAAAAACCTATTTATTCGGTATATGCTTTTAATACATACTGTATTTCGAAGGATCTTATTTCAACATCGAAAAGCATTCACATTTTGCGGAAAATATTGGGAAGCATATCGCCCTTTAAAAGATTAAATCTAAGTTATCGTAACAAATTCACGCCAAGCGCTCTTGCTATAAAGAAACTCGTAATGTTATCCATTCCCCTAACGATATCATCAAAACTGACAGCGTCTACAAAAGAAATACGAAGGTAAAGTTAATTGGCTTTGGGTTTGGTATGGTTAGAATAACGCAACACACGCCTCTTCGATTAGCATAACTTTGCAGTACAATGTACAGTGATAAAGAATTAGACGACGACTCGATTGCTGGGACAAAATGTTTATTCGCCAACACTGCAAGGCCAGATGGTCATGGCTGACACAACGAATCAAAACACACTCAGGCCATTTATCGATTTTTCTGTACGTTTAAATTTTACGACGGAACGCTGTGCACACACAAACTGTTTCTGCTACTGTTCAGTATGTCTCTGAAGACGAATCCACGACGGATTTCGAAAAGTCAGGCTCCTAACGGTCGAGGCACCTTCTACTTCTCAATTACTTCCTGGGACTCGCATATTCGCTTGTATTATGTACAATGATTCTCAAAACCGATTGATATGCACGAAAGATGGAAAGCAAAGCTAATACCGTGTGACCCGTCGATTAAAAAATTCCAGAAACAAATGCCGATTGGGATGAACTTGCATGCATGAATCAGAAAAAAGGAATCAGAAGCAGATTCGCGCAGATTTCAGCAAGACGCTGCACAGTCAAAATGGCTGACTCTTGTGTGTTTGAATGAAAGGTACGAATTGATCGTGCGCATGACGGGGACGTTCACATTTTTACCGCGTGTACATGCATGGCTGGTGGTGCCTAAGCATCGTGCAGTCAGGAATCTGCCTCGGCAGTTGAGATTTTTTGTACGAAATGATATCGGTTGAGCCGGATAATTTGCCAAAGGGGACTGCGAGGAGGAGCCATAGATGGCAGATCGTCTTCGCGCCAGTTGTCGTCCTTGCTTTTAAAAAATTGCAACGGCGGAAAAGGAAGATCTATTCATAAAACTGCCGTTCATGGGAGACGCAACAAGTGAACTGGTAAGAAGACGCCTGAAGACAGCAGTCAAAAGTGCCTTCCCGGCGGCATAATTGCGCGTGCTCTTCACTACCTGTCCCCTTCTACGAATGGGAGGTAAAGACACACTACGGTTTCAGGCCACATCGATGTGCATCTATTCTTTCACCTGGTCCTGTAGAGCGGTATGTATTGGCCGAACGACGCGACGTCTGGAGAAGAGAATACGCGAGCGCATACCGGCATGGCTCAGCAAAAGAAGAGAACAGACCGATCGCAAGCTTAATCCTCGCCCAC